TGAATCCAGGCCGCTCTGACAGTCACGTCAACCTGACGCTCTGTGCTCTTATTGAACCAAAACAGAGGATGTGGCTTATTCTAATACAGGAAGCGCAGTCTGTCCGGCTCGCCGCATCTTTACTAAACAAATGAGAGAGAGACGAGAGCCTTTCACTCAACACCCGCTACAACTCCTGCAGAAAAACATCAGACTCCAGAACAGATTCAAATGCAAAAAATCATTCTCTTACTTAGTGTTTTTGTCTTGTTTTCTAGTATAAATACCTAGAAATTCTTGAATCAAGATGAATTTACTGTACAAGTCTTGTTTTCTGTAAAAAAAAAAAAAAAAAATTTTGTGAGTTTTTGCATAAAACAAGCACAAATATCTGCCAATGGGGCAAGAAAAATCATCATGTTTAGCCTTTGAATTAAGATAATTTTTCTTGCCCCATTGGCAGATATTTTTGCTTGTTTTAAGCAAAAACTCACAAAATTCTTTTTTTTTTTAGAAAACAAGACTTAATATTTTAAATCATTTTCCTTGTCAAGTAAATTCATCTTGATTCAAGAATGTTTAGATATTTATACTAGAACACAAGACACAAACACTAAGTAAGAAAATCATTTTTTGCAGTGTTGAACAGAAGCCTTCAGGAGCAAATTTCTTATCGATGTAGTTTAGCAGGCGAAAATGAGTCATTCTAATAAGAATCTGTGCGATCTGGACTTTTCAGGGTGAAACAGTTCAGGATATAGATTTTTGGTTGTGTGAGAAAAGATGATGCCAAAACTCAAACAACATACAAAACTACCAAACTTTGCTATAAGTTTAATCGCAACATATAATCATTGCCATTAATAGTTTTTACCGTCTGTTTGATTACATGACATTAACTAACTGCTTGATTTTTTCCGTACATTTCTGCCATATTGACATCAGCTTGAGACAGTCACCACTGATAAGCTATTAATAAATATAATGTAGAAACTTTAAAATAGAAACTTTAATTTTCTGTAAAGCTGCTTTGCAATGATTTGTATCGTGAAAAGCGCTATTCAAATGAACTTGAATACAATGGTTCCAGTTTCTCACTTGAATGGAGTTTGGATCAGTTTGAATGGAGTGAAGGAGTTTGAATCATTTGATTCAGTGATTCAGTGAGTCTATTCTGCACTCGACTCTCTCCTCGTTCAGTCGTGTTTGATAGAGTCGCTTGAGTTTCTTCAGCTTTATTGTGTCTGTCTGGAGTCTTTCAGTGTCCGTGTTCTTCATTTTTTCAAAGTGAATTTGGCCATTTGAGCGACACTACTGTAGGCTAATATTTCCAGCTGGAGATGCTGTTTCTCTCACAGACGTATTCTTATGTGTTTTTGTATATTTATGTGTTGTTTGTGTCTAAATGCTGCAACCAAATTGCGTTCGGGAAATGAAATTGAGTCATTCTATTGTAAAAGACTCCCGGCCTTGATTTTGATTTTTTTTATGTTTAGTGAAAGAAATGCATGAATGAAGAAAACAATCCAAAATATTAAATGTCATGATGAATATTTACGGAGTAGTGCCACTGAAAATGTGCACACTTTACTCCTGGAGCTGCATTGAGATCCCAGTATCTCTGGAATTGAATCATAAAGGTCCTGAAAAATGGAAATATCAAAAGATAAGTTTGTTGAGAATCAAAATCTAAAAAGAATATGAAGATATCTTTAATACTTCTTGAGTTACAGCCATGCAAACTATGGAAAACAAACACGAAAAGTGCTTATTTCCCATATTTGAACAGTCACCATTGGCAAATAATGCAACACAGATTACTAAAATCAACAGATTTCACTAATAGAGCTACCAATCTCTGTGTGAAAAGAACATAATGATGCTGCCATCTTTCTGAAGTCATTTTATCCTCCTGTAATTTGGCTCTGAATCTCAGGTGATTGTCATTTTGACCCCCCTCTACAAAACAGTGCATTGCTCAGTAAATATTCATCCATGACATTTAATATTTTGGCTTTCTTAACCATTTATGTTTGTCTTTCTTCTAACAAAATCAGAAGTTTGAGCTGGGGAAGTTTCTGAAATGTGGTTGTTTTGACAGGGAATGACACAACAATCAGATGAGCCGTTTGCTCGCATATTTCATCTTAATCTGCCATATGCTGAGCATTTCTTCATAAAGAGCTTTAGAGCTAAAAATACTCAGCAAGGCTTTATAGATGCGCTGCTGCTTCTCAGCTGTTGTACGTTTGTGTTGAACGCCTGATCTGGTCTGGAGAGATCTGTTGTGCTGCAGCTTTAGCTCTGTTTGTGAGTTTTTACCGTATTTTACCGTGTTGTTTGGAGTTTTACTGAGGTCAGTGATGGAGATGCAGTCGGTGTTTGTGTGAAGTGCTTTTCTGTGTCCATCTCTGAATCAGCAGCAGCCATCAATGTTTCATTCAAAACACTTTCGTTTGCTGTGTGAGTGTGTGTGTGTGTGTGTGTGTGTCACCATTGTGTGTGTGTGTGTGTGTCACTATGTGTGTGTGTGTGTGCGTGTGAGTGTGTG